GTGCGGGCTGCGGTTGCCGCACCGAGCTGTGAGGCAGTACCGGGGACAAATGCTGGCGCTTAAATAACGGTGTAAGCCGCGGAGAGTGCCCGCTGAAGGTGAAGCCGAGGAAAATAAGGAGCTGGATTTCCTCAGCGTGTGCACCGCGGCAGCGCCAATCAGCAGCTGCTGGTAACTGCTCACAAAAGTAATTGTCCAGGACAAAGCACAACGCTGCCGAGAAAGGTCTGACTTTGAAATTTCAGCTAAAACCTTTAAAATAAATTAATTGGGAGAATCACAAATAACACAGGAGCACAGTTCCAGCCTGTCTGGGGATCAAGTCTGACAAGTCGCAGAGACCAGCATAGTACGGCATCTTCTTCTTTCCCATTTGCAAGGCTTTGGTCCAAAGCCTCTGCTTATTCAGTGACTAAAATGATTGTTTCAGCTGGAGCAATACTCTGAACGGCGTTGGGCTGCGACAGGATGACTGGTCCAGTATTTAAATAGTAGCTACAAAGACGATGGAGAGGCTCCCTTTTTACAAGGAGTCACATGGAAAAGGGAAGAGGTGATGGGGACAAGTCACTCCTGAGGAGATTACAAGGGAACACAAGAGGGAAATATTTCTCAACGAAAACAGTCAGCCAGAATCTCCCCAGAGAAGTGGTAGATTCCCCAACCCGGACACTGTTAATACTCAGCTCGGCAGAGTGTTGGGACATCCAGTCTAGGTTATGCTTTGCCTAGGAAGGTTGGACCAGATGATCCTTGAGGTTCCTTCCAATCTGGTGTTCTATAATTCTGTGTTGATATGTAGCTCCCTGTAGATATACCAGGAGCCAGGACTCCTCCAGTTCTACTCTCCTCTGTGGTCAGCTACCAGCTGGAGCATTTCCCATTAACAGCTAGGATATGTGTAGTACCTGCCAGATGTTGTCCTATAATACATTCATCATACTCGTGTATTAAAAAAAAATAGAAAATAAAAAATTATCTGTGCTGTTTGAAAAAAACCTTATTGTAATTAGAGGTTGTGAGTAAAGTCCTCAGGAAACAATGATGGGATATTATAAATAACAGAACATTGTGCAGCAAAATTTAAAAAGACACTTTACATACCTGAATAAGAAAGTAAAAAAAAAAAAAAAAAAATTTTATCCGACCTATATAGAAATTAAAAAATAAGAAATCAAACAGATAATAAAATAATTTGCTCTAATACACAACAAACGTTCCTGCCCAGCCACTAAGATGGCATTTTCTGGCAGGATTTGAACAATGGAGAAGAAAATACAGATTTAATTCTACAAATCATCTTCTGCATCTGCTGCTGTGTGGATCTCCACCTGCTAAAAGTGCACCAGCACCCAGGGAACTGCCCGGCAGGGGTTCTTAGAGGAGACTGAAAGAGAGTGTCACTGAGATGCTTTTCCCTCCCTTGGCTGCCACATGCCAGAGGAGCAGCAACAATGGAGAATCTGTAAAAACAGCAGTGTATTTCACTCCAACATTGCTCTAAACTGCTGTGTGTATTTAGACAGCTCCTCAGTTTGGTCCTGAAGTTCCCTTATGGCATCTGCATTTGGATATTGTATTACAGCATTTTTAGTGGCAAGAGCCAAATTCTTCAAGAGGCTGCAGAATCGGCTGCTGCTGTGGAGAATGTCGTTCCGAGCATCCCTGTCTTGAGTCTCCTGGCAGAGAGAATCCACTAACTTTTGTCCCACCATAATGATCAATTTGCTGTGGGATATGAAGACTTCGGGTGGCTGATTGTTGTTCAGGCTCATAGTAAATACACCAATTGCCTTGTGAAGTGCACCGAAACACAGCCTGCAGTGCTCAGGGAGAGTTATTTTCTTTGCAGACTCCTGCTTGCTTTGAATTACAGTCTTCTTTGCAGATGGCAAAACCTGGAAAAAGGTTAAAAAAAAATAAAGACTCAGCTTGGTGTGATTGTTTATTGACTCTGTCTGATATCCTTCACTTACAGGGAGTTTTGTTAGTTAATAGTCTCCAAATTGCCCCATCCCAGAAGTCTTTTACGATCATTTCTCTTTCCATAATGTACTCAACTTCAAAGTGGTATTTTCTCCTGATTGTCACTGAACACAGTTTTAATAATGGATAGCACACAAAGTGCTGTAGTGAAACACCAATCCTTTATACGGTCTGGACTTCAAGGCTTTCAGATAGTACAAAACCCTCAGACTTTAATGGTGCTGACTTCATGAGGATTAGGAATGATTAAAACTGTACAACAACAGCAGTGGTGTACAAGTATTTTGAGCTACTCTCACAGCCCTATCCCACATGATACACAAAGGCAAGCAAATAAATAGTATAACTAAACTATAGTGGTTCATTCCATTTGAGGAAAATAAATGTTTTCCATGGGTTTTCAGCAGTGATTCTAAGAACTAGTGCTGGAAAAATTAACTAGGAGAAACCAACTTGATCTCTGTGTATAGATATGTGTGTCCAAATGCAAATTACTTCGAATTTTAGCAAGCACAGGAATCATGGACCAGCAGTCCTCATAAGTAATAGTTTTCAAAATCAGAAATACCTTTGGTTTTGAATCTGTACTCTTCTTTGCTACTTCTTTACCTGAAATTATTTTCTCTGCCTGTTACAAATCAAAATGAAAGCAAATTTGAGACGGTTTACATAAAATATTTAAATATAAATGTGTTTTTCCTCTTCTTTCAGGGCAAAACAACTACTTGCTATGCAGCCTTCATGTTGCAACCAAAATAGTATGTTTATTAGAAGCAACTATAGGGGTTTTCCTACTAAAAATTTTGTGTCTGATCCAGCAAGAGCTAGGACTGAAACCAACATTGACAAAACATAACATTTCTGAAATTCTAAGGAGAGGACAGCATTACCTTGTGAAACCAAGAGAGTTACATTCTTGTAGACATTTCAGTAATTGTAAGGGGAATGATTCTAACAAACATCCAAAATGCTTCTAACAAATAAATCTCATAATTCACAGTAAGAGTTTAATTTGTTAGAGCAAAACCTTCTACTAAAACTTGCTTTCCAATATATCTCAAGTTAGAAAGTGAACATCTCCTGTAGTGTCATGTCAGATTCAGACAAAACATACTGGCAAGAAGAGAACTACCAGTTAGAAGCAGCAAATTGGCAATCCCCAGCTAGAAGCTAAAAATCTTTTCTCAGTGCTGGCTGCCTAGCTAAATTCTCAAATGCGATTTCAAATGGTCATTCTACATGTGCCATCCAGCACTCTAACTAAATCCTGAACTCATGTGAAGTCCGGAAAACAGAAGTATTTCAAACTGAATTTGGCATTAACAAAAGATATAATAGTGCTAGTAGTTAAATGTTTGCAAACGATGAAGAATGTAGCTAGCTAGTAAAATCCAGTTATACTAACCTGTAACTGAACATAATCACAGTCCTCAGTGGCGTTTTCTTTTGGCTTCTCAGAAGAGACCTGACTTTGGTTGGATTTATCAGGAGTATTTGTTTGAAGCGAATCAGTTTCTGTTCTTCTTGGCACTATGATTTGTTTTGCCATTTTGTATTCTGGGATCGCTTTTGATTGTTTCATTTCTTGTTCCTTCTCCTTCTTTCTGAAAAGGAGCTTTCCATTGGCAATGATGATGGATACAAACCTCTTGATATCATCTGGAACCGTGCGGGCTACCATAACAAAGCGATCAAGATCATCTGGGTTGTTCTGAGGTTTCCTGAGGACCAAAGCCTCTAGTGACCACTTGCAGTTGTTTAGAGCTTCTCTTGTTTCTGTTAAAATTTTGAAGGAGTTTGTAAGAATTTCTAGCTGTTTTTTAATTCTGGTCTGAAGTTTTTTATCAGTGAGGTAAGAGGCATTTACCTTTACAAGTTGAGCAAAAGCCAAGAATTCTCCGAACGATACTTTTATGTGATCGACTGCTCTATGGATATCCTCAATGCTTTTCTCTAGATGTTCTTGTAACCTCCATTTACTACTCACAAAGATCATTAAACTTGCAACCGAGCTGGATACGCTGTGCTGCAATCTAGTCAGGGTCTCTATGGCTACATCGAGGTCCAGTTTAATTTCTTTGTCAGGGTCTTCTGATGATGAGATAGAAAAAGACTCAGCAGAAGAGTTTGAAGATGTAGAGGCTGTGCTGGTTCTGCTGTCTACACTAGAAACAGATAATCTGTTTATCATCTCTTGATCTAATTTAGCATCTCTTGAAAGCTGTGGAGGAGCACTGTATGCTTGGTCTCCAGAACTATCGCTGCTTTTTTCCACCTCTTTCTTGGACTCTACAGTGGTGGGCAAACCTTTTGGAATATCATAAACATTCTCTTCAGAGATCTGATTCTCAGCCTTTGGAGCCAGGAGAACTGGGGGGACATCACAGCTACCATTTTGTGGCAAAAGGAGCACGTCCCGTGAGGATGGAACATCATAAAGATGGATATCTGGAAACGTTAATTTCCGTTGCATTGGTGGAATATCATATAACTGCGAATTTACAACTTTGGCTTCAGTATTTGTTGTTAGCGCCTTGTACCTAGCTGGTGGTATGTCATACAGCACCTGGTTCTCCAGGGAATGGCCAGAAGGGTTTTGTTTTAATCCCGGTTTTTCAGGTGATACTGGAATATCATAAATCCATCCTGACTTCCGAGGATTTGGCAAAGTATTGTAATGGCCCCAGCACTTTTTCTGAGATTCATTTTCTGAAACATCACTTTCTCTTTTGGGAGGGACATCATATAACTGCAACAGAGCACACAGGAATTATAAACTGTGGTTCGAAACAAGAAACAAACCTGAATTTTTAGAGCATGTGAAGGTATGCAACTCTCAAATAACTGCAATAAGTGATACAGGTTTGCTAAGATGGAGACAGAACTTGCCTCATGCCTTGAAAAATATCTGTGTACAGCTGAATTCTAAGCTAGAAAACGTGAATGCAGGACCACGTCTTGTGTAAGGAAATCCAGACTAATGCTGACAGGCACTTCAGAAGAGATTGTACGTGGATGCCTTACACACATGAAGCACAAGCACAAGGGAGTGTAAGGAGCTATAGGTCTGTGCAACAATAAACATCTGAAGGAACTGCTCTGTAATAAGTATTTTAGAAAGAACTGGCCAGGTCAGGCTTCCCCATTTGCAGAAGGTGTGTGTGAGAGGGGAACCCAGACACAGGTGTTTCAGACCAAAGCCAGAATTTTCCAAATTGCCCACAAACAAAGAATTCTAAGAAAATTTGATTTTTGAAGCAGCAATAAACTGTGTCTCTGGAAGGAAATCTGCTCCCAGGCTGTTGCAGCTGGAGGGTACAGTTGCTAACAGCCATGAAAGTGTCAGGAAAGCCAGCTTTAGTGAGCAAATG